TCTCTTGGATGTACTTAAACAGCTTGACCCAGAAGATTATCATAGCTTTATTCAGGAAGGAAAGAAACATACTAAACCAGATGCAGCAGCAGCCATTAACCGGAGCACTTCAGTTGATGCTAGCAAAGCTAGAGGTAGACAGTTATGATTTGTGTTTTAAATCTAAATAACAATAGCACAAGAAAAAAAGATTAAGAGTAGATGTGCTGCTTGCAAAAGAGGTTTCACAAATAATTATGGGTATGTATATACATTTATATGATTTATCTATAAATAATTTTTAATTAAATCTAGTGATGCCCCTCATCCTCACATGGATTTGTATTGGCATCATCGTCATTCCTACTGTGCTAGATGCAAAAAGTTGATTGATAAAAACTTTCATTATTTTGAGGACTTTGATATGGTTTACTGCAACAGCTGCTTGTGCACTGGATGCCAACAACCTTTAGATGATAAGGTTCCCATAAATATATAGTGCCATTTATAATCCATTTATTTTAGGCTCTTGATATTGGACATGGTTTGTATCACGGTCCTTGTTTAGCCTGTATTCATTGTAACCGTGTTACAAAAAATATGGTAGCTGTTGCAGAAGGTTCTTTTGTGTGCGAAAACTGCATAAAAAGCCGCTATAAATGAGATTCTTGATAAACTGCACAAAAAAGATATACTGAACAATTAGACTAGAATTTTGTTAGTTATTAACAATTTATAATAGTTCCTAGAATTACAATGAATTACAGTTCGAAGTAATTGCAGTTCCAAGAATTAAAGCGGATCTATAGCTATGAATTTTATTAATTTTAAATCATTTTAAGTAGTGAATCCGGGTAGATCTATAAGCGGTAAGCGTAAGCATAGCATAGCATACAATGGAGGGGATAACCGTCATCTTCAGAGAGCTCAGGAATAAAGAAAGGTATAATTATACGCTGTGCTATGTCATGATGATTTTGAAAATAATTAAGAGATCTTAAAGACAAAATTTCAAAAGACTCTTTGAAAGAACAGATTCTACGGTGAGCCAGGATTGTGTCAGTTATACTCGTTTATTATCCCCCTTGTATATGTAGACAAAAAATAGGCGAGAATGAGTACCAAATCAGTCAACTAAAACAGTAGGGTTATTAGAAATTTAGTTAATTATAGTTTCTTATTTTATAAAGGCAAATTGAAGTGTGTAAAAAGAAATCAGGAGACATGCAAAAAAGGTAGATCTATAGACCCTTCCCACTACTGAGCATTTAGCAATCAATGAGCTGCCATGTTGTGGCAGGACCGCAGGATAGATGTACAGATGACTGAATGGGCAAATTTCCCTACTAATTCTTTATTTTCTCCTCTGAAGAAAACTGCTAAGACCATACAAATAAGTATAGATTAATGAATGTGCAGTGAGTATTTCTGTGTGAATCAGAGCTTACACTTTAAAGGAAAATTGTAAATTCACTTCTAGCCCATTTAGCTCCGTATATTTATACCCATCCCACAACATGGTGGCCCAATCATTAATTGACAACTGGCCATATTGTGGGGAAAGGTCTATAGTGGCAATGACCATATATTATAGGATACAAAGAGCAAATGAAATTCCACAAGATCTTTTAGAAAGGCGTAAATCAATAGAGTTAAACTCTATGAAGGTATAGATCCAACCACAAGACAAAAGCATGCATGAAATCATTTATTTACTTTGTAGTGGCTCTATAGTAAGTGCATCTTAATAGTAGAAGAAAATCTTAAATCTGGCTTGAACAATCTTTTTAAATGTTCTGCCAAGGGAAATGGTAATCGAGATGCATTCAAAGTGTATGGATTGTTATTGAGTGCATGCCAGCAAGAACCTATTGTTAAAAAGGTTAGACTGGAAATAACTATAATCATTATAAACTCTGAATATTTTAGGTAACTCAATCTGTTGAACATAAAAATATGTTAGGTGGTGGTAAAAGTAGGAAAGAAGTTGCAAAAGTTTACATTGAAAAAGCAGCTATGGTTACATACTCTATGCTAACACTTTTGCCTCCACTAATAGTCACAGTTGACCCTAGAGAATACTCAGATCTATTGCATGATACAAATCGACTGACTTGGAATGAGTCTACAAAAGTGACTGATGAGTTGATATATTACCGCCCCATTCTGATGTATGGTAATCAATTAAATGTTGCAGTGAAAGGATTGGTGGGGAATAGTACTGGTGAGATTGGTGACCAAAATAGTGAAATCTTGCAAAGTATATAGACACACCATGTATAAAATTAATTTTTATACACAATAATTCATATAGAACAACAAAGTATCCCACAAGGAGAAACTTACAGTGTGATTAGTGATGAATTTGATGCTAGAGGAAATACTGGCAACAATTGTGCAGTCTGTGGTGATATTTTTGATACTAAAGTAAAAAGTAACATAGCGATCTACTGCAGTTTTTAAAATAATTTAATTTAACAGAGTTTTATTGATTGCTTTGATTTCAATGGTCAGCAACACATAGTTCATGAAAAGTGCTACAAGTGTGTTTGCAGTGTTGTTTGTAAA